GCTGTATTTAACAGTATTATTGCTGAGTTTATCCATAATTTCAGGGAGTTAGGCACCTGAATTATGCCAAGGCAAATCTGTTTTGCACTTGTCAGTCAAACCAATTTGCAGCAAAGCCCCAGCCTAGGATTAAGATGAACATCCAGACATCTGGAACTGGTTGAGTGATACAGAAAAATCCCTGTCTGTAAAATCAAGCAGCAGAAATGGGCAAGAAGGTTCAGCATTATGCCTCAGTTGCCTTGAGGATAATAGGAGGAAAATAGTTTAGTACGGAATAAGTTAGAATGACTAGAACAAAGGCTGCCTACTCCAGATCAGAATTTCCGATTTAATTTGAAACACTAACTTAACCTTGCTGTCACTTGGATCTGTACCTCCTAACTGGCTACCCATGCAGATGGGATTTGCCTGATTGGATCTAAATGAAAGAACGCGGCCACAAGTTTTAACAGCCACTTCACGGTATGACTGTAACCAGGTGTCACCTTCAAATATCTGTCCTTTGCCAGGATGACAGTAAAGAGAAGCAAAAAAAGATGTCTTTGTCAACATAAAGCCAGTGGGAAATGTAGTACAACATGTCAATACTGGAGAATTACTAGAAATGGAAGTTCTAAATAACCTGAAATTCAGAATTAGTATCAGATTTCCCATTTCAAAGTGACTCATAGAAGATCCTAGGAGGGTGATCAACAGGTAATAATGTCAGAGGAGTTTGCCTTTTGTCCTGTTCTCATTCACAGCTGCAAACCCATTTCAGAACCTTGGTTGCCTCTGCTAAAAGACTAGATGTACTGAAAATTGTACACAGTTTCAATTATTAGTGAGATACATGCAAATTTTTAGTTGACTGTTAATCTTTTGGCTAGATGAAAGAACATTTAAGGTTATTCTTATACTTTATACCAATAAATATTGTTAAACACCAAATCACAGAGGATATTTATTGTTTATCTAAATGCTTAGTAGCTTATCAAAACCTTTAAAAAATAAGCTCTTTTAGATGCTTTTTAGGTATTTTCTGTGTTTAGGTTCTTCTTCAAAACTTGTTATTGCTTGCAATGCCTGCCTTCTGATCTATTTTAGGAATGTTCTAACACGGAAGAGGCACCTATCAAGGTCTCAAGACCCTTGTGGTATAATTCCCTGGGAGGCACCCCAACTCCATGCAAGTGTTATTGAAATCAAGGGAAGCTTATTGTTGACGTCATATGGCTTTGGGTGAGACCATCAAAAGCACTGACTAAAATATTTCTGTGCTTATTATCTGTCCTCTGATTTTTAGTTTATTATTATTTTTACACGATATTTCTAAGAAATGTTTAGACTCACAAAACAGGAAAGGAAAAACATGAAACTTCTCATCTGTCCTCTGATTTTTAGTTTATTATTATTTTCACACAATATTTCTAAGAAATGTTTAGCCTCACAAAACATGAAAGGAAGAAACACAATTTGTATTATTACAAGAGAAAATATGTTTATTGTAATTAAAAACATCCATGCTCATGGATATACAGAGATTAGTTAATTTTATCACTACCAGTTAGTGGGTATGATAACATAAATTGAACTTTAATCCTCTGCAGGTAAAAAGACAACAGCTAGAATAATTTTTTCCCACAGTTTTATTATGACTTGCTGCATTATGTTCTAAATACCACATGTGACAGTTTTAACCATGCAGCTGCTGAGAGCCCAGGTGTAGATTTCCAGGCCTGTTTAGGTGTCTAAGTCCTACTGAAATCCGTAAAATAATTTACTCACCATAATGCTCAGTTTTGGCATGCATAAATCTTAAGGATATGGACACCGAGAGGAACCTACAGACTGAAGTTTAAGCATAGGATTTAAGTTTATAGGATGCTCTATGACAGTTAGATCCCAGGAAAGAAATTTGCAAATGCCACCACATCCGTCGAGCATCGTGAAATGTAGCCAACAGGAAACACAAAAAGAAGAAAACAGAAATCCAGAAAGTTATAAAACTGGAAATCAGAAATGCTCCTCACAGAAGAGAACAGAAGTGGTTTGCTCTTAGAGGTGCAGCTGATACAAATTTGTGCCACATCTCACACAGACTGACTATCCAGGCTCAAAAGGAGAGGGATGCTTGCAGGGGAGTCAGAAGGAGCACCTGGCTCAGCTTTCCCCATGAGAACAGGCTCTGTATGTGGGGTACCCTGCTGTGGTTTGGGAAGTATCTCCTCAGTGTACTGTCCTGCAGGTTATTGCTGTCACGCTGCAGATCTTGGCTACCTGAACCTCACAGAATCATCTGGCCTGCCAATATTCTTGGAAAGAGAGAGATTGATAGATACTTCTGAAATATCTGAAAGCCCAGTTTCATTGTACTGGCCCCTGCTTTGTTTTTTGCCTACCTGGGCTGTAATAATTAAGAATCACAATTCTCGGTGTAACCTGGATTTTGAGGTCTTTCTTTGAATGCAGAAGAGCATGAGAGCACTTGAAAAAAACTATTTGAGTCACTGCAAAAAGAGGCCCAACCCTCTATCTTTCAATGGAAGGAAGCAATATGACAGAGCTGGTTTGTGCTTTGATAAAAAGGCATTGCACCTCTGCCTAAAGAGGCAATGTGGCCCAGATCCAAAGCAAGGCTTACATGCCTGGATTGTTACTGAGATGGGATATAGGGCCCTCCGACCAAAACTGCCATCTCCAACATCATCTGCCCGAGGGCTACTTACCTCAAAGCCAGCCAAACCCCACTGCACCCCAGGTGGTCCTCAGGAGGTGACCACCTCCCTCACATGTTAGCTTCTGATTTAGTTGTCCTATTTCAGTGGATGTATTGGACAGGAGAAATCTGGGCCTGTGTACCCAGATGCATGTTTGGGTACCAAGTAATAGCATAACATTTATATAAAATGCACTAATGTATTACAGACAGTTGTTAATTTAACACATTTGCAGAAAAGTTTGAAATCTGATTTTATGAAGTACTGGTTCTTTTTCCCATTCTTTAGTTACTATGAGCAGTAAGATGTGACCTTAATGAAAACAGCAAGAAAAGTCAAAACTAGCATCTAATCCAATGCCGCTCAGAAAACATTAAGAGACATTTTGTTTCCTATTAGCATGTACTTCAGTTCTACAGCATAAGCAGAATGTCAAATGAGTCATTTTTACACCTTTCACTTGAAAAATCCACCACAATCACCACTTCGATTTTAACAAACTGCATTTTTCTGAGAAAGCTGTTCCATCAAAAAAACTCAACCAAAATATCTCTAGTTTTCTTTAATACAAAATATGTTTTAGAAACTTTTTAGTGGATCTCCTGCATTTATTTTTGAAAGAGTCTGTATTTCATTTATATTTTTTCTTTTAAAGAAAGATCATTCTAAACTCAGTTTATTTCTTATTGATTGCCCGTGGTTTAGTCACAGTCTCCCCTAACTTAAATGAAATTGAAAGTATTTCTTTCTACAATAGAGTGCTGTCAGAAAAATAAATGATAGTTTTTCTCACTTGTCTTGAAGAGCTCTTTTAACATAGTGTTTGTTCACCTTACAATCACTTGATTAACATAGTTATCATGGCAATAACTCGCTGAGGTTATATATGAGGATAATAGCATATGTTTGAAGAATTAAGAGCTCCTAATAGGTGGAAAATCACAGAGGTCTAAGCCTGATGAGATCTTTAAGGTTCTAGGACAAAAGGAATAATGGAGGCCAGTGGGAGCTGGATGGTATGCTTCAAATGTTTGCCTCAGTCAAATAGAAAAAAGCAGGGAACTCAGCATAGATCTCACAGATCCCTTATTTGTCTTATGGCTACTTGTCTATTCTTTTTCCAGCTACAGATGTTCTAATATAAAGACACAATTATTTCACATATATATTATATGTGTGCATATGCATATTTTAATGTATATTATTAATAACCAAATGGTTTGTAATTTTTTCATTCAAGTAAAGTCTCTTTCAAGAATACTTAACTCCTGGGAAGCTGAGAAGCTGGGGATTCACAGAGTGCCCTGGAGCCATGCCAGGTATGCTTTCTGCTTATGGTCATCTCTAGAAGAGCATTCTTCTCCCTGCTGACTGGAAGGAGAGCCCTGGGAGCCTTTCCATCCCCCTTCAGAGGACAGATCTCACAATGGCAGCTGGGACATAAATAAGTTTCTTGTTGAAGATGGTAAACTTGCCTGATCCTTGTTGATTTCATCTCTATAATAGCCATGGAGTGCTTTCATCAACTTTAAATTTAAAAATCATTGCAGTATTGTCATAGATTTGGGATGGAAGTAGACCTGACTGAGATGGAGTTCCTGCTCCCATCATTGCTTATACATTTTATTTTAAATAGTCATGGGATTAAAAAAACACAGGGAGACCCTTTGTTCTTGGATTAGAATACATACATTAATTTCTTAGTAAATATACTAATGAACAGAGAGTGACTTGCCCTTTTTCTTCCTGATCTCCTGGCTCTTTCATTACTTTCTACCTCATGGAGGGCTCAGAGCTTGGATACCTCATCACACGGGACATGTAAGAGGAAAACTGGGGCTTGAATTCACTCAAATGGAAAAGAAACTAGAAACCTTCCCTCAACTGTAATTTTCTGGGAGGATACTCTCTCCAGTATGCCATACAGTATGAGGTAGGTATGAGGAGACTCATCCACTCTTTACAAAGGGAAAAAGTGAACCTTGTGCTAATTTTTTCAGTAGTAGTAGGCTTCTACTGTCCTGGTTGTGGATGTCATCTGGGCAGAAACCTGTCTTCTAGCCTCCTAATTAGCCTAATCTCAGAAAATGGGATTGAGGGCCAGACATATTCCTATGATGTGTGTGTTTTTGACTCAGTCTTCAAGGTACCCCACTCTCTCCAGGCCTTATGGACATTAAAACTCAGGGAACAGCTGCAGGGTTTGGATTACATCTGGGACCATGACATGTCCAGTCCCCAGCTGCAGAATATGCGAGACTTTTTGTTGGATACACTCTACCATCCCTCTGGACTGACTCAAACCGGCCGTTTGATTAAGCAGTAGTTAGAGGACTCATCAAAGGCAAATGAAGCAGGCAGATCGCTGCAAATCTCCTGGGTGAGACAGTCTGCAGAGCTCCCAGGATGGTCATCAGCAACTTTAAGTTGCTCACAGTCAGTTTCTTTATAACCCTGATAACAGTGGCAGACAAGTGTCTCTGCCATTATTTCCAGATCTTCATTTGATGCTTCTCCTCCCCCAATAAATCCTTGGTCCTTCAAGGCATCTATCCAGAAGCTCTTAGGATTCAAATGGAGGTCTGTCAAGGCTCTACAGGTCCTTCACACATGTCAACCCTTTGTCCTGATAAAGATGCCTGCTGCACACCTCAGCTGCTGCTGTGACATTGATAACGTAAGGCCGTAATTCAGAATCAACAAATTCTTGCACTTCTGTGCAGTTGCTCTGTAAATGATAACAAAGAAATTTTAGCTCAAGTGAAACAAAGCTCTCTATTTTTTCCTTTTATGTTCTGAAAAGTATGCAATATGTAAGCATCCTGCATTAATTAACTCGTTCAGGATAACTAAAATTTGACTAATTTAAAGGATTATTAGGAAGTTTTATACAGAAAATATAACACAATTGAGGTGCAAATGGCTTTAGCATTTTGCACTCCCCAGAAAGCACCACAGTCTGTATATCTACAAAGAATCGTATGCTAGAAACACAGGTGATGACAGCGTGGCTGTGTGGCAAGACTGTGGCGATCTAGAGCTGATGAAGATGCTCCAGGGGTTTGCCTTTGTCATTTGACTGAGCTGGAAGGAAGTTCACCCTCCTATTCACATTGAATCTGACAGAAACCACAGACGAATATTTACAAAAATTGGCTGAAGTAATTGAATTTGCTGAGCACAACCGAACGCTTATTTTCAGCCATTCATTCTCATTCTGGCTGGGTTTTCTGTACTATCTGCCAGGAGAAAAGCAGCCCAGAATACCCATTTCACAGAGCTTTAAGGACAAAGTCTTTTCTCATTACAAAGTTTGATGTGTGGCTGTCTGAAAGCTCCAGGACATGATGGAATCTCAGAAATCAGTCTTTGATTTTAATGTGGCTAGGTCTGATATCACATAATACAAAGCCTCACCATCTGATCTCAACAGCCTGCTTCATCACTTTACTTGCCCACACAAAGGCACAAATAGAATTCCCCTAACCTGTCAAATTGCTGGGCACCACTGGTACACCTAATCTGGCCTGTCTGGTGTGTTAATCACGCTCTAGATTATTTCCTAGTGTTTTATCCAGATGGAAAGGAATCTGACCAGGATGACAACTATTGAGGAAACTCTTCCCAAATGCCTGGTATTAGCCACTGGCTTCAGTTGCTTGTGAGTCTCACGGGACCTTGTTGAGCCAGGAAGACCTCAACATGTTCCATGATCATCCTGACTGGGGGGACAGCAAAGACAGGTTAAGCAGTCAGCTCTGCTGGTACAGAGTACTCAGACCTGGTGCGGTCAGACAGTGTCTATTAATAGGATAAAATAAGGATCTTACACATTGTATTTAAATGAGGCACAGGCCTATCTCTGAAGAAGTTAAATTCTTATCTCACCAAATAGCAATGCCTGTACCTCCCAGGGCACTCTCTCCCACAGTGTTAGTAAGATCTTGCTACAGTGAGAAGAGTAAAGACACCACTGTCAGGCTAATTCAGCATTTCACAGCCTTTCTAAAGTAATCCAATGGTTTGTTAACTGGCTGTCCCTCAGACTACATTTTCATTCTGCTCTCCATGAACTATATTTTATTGTGGCTGAAGGTTTGCTGCCTAGAGTACAAAGATTATTAAACAAAATTTGCCATCTTAGGGACTGCCTGAGATGTTGATAATAAGCAAGCAAACACTGGGAAAGCATTTTAATTTACTTTGATGCAAAATTTAGCTGCAATTGTTTGAAATCTCATAAATTACTAGAAGCATCTAGATCTTTTCATTAAATTGGGATTTTTAACATGTGAATTCCCCAAAGCATTCCTTCAGGTCTGTTTTTGCTGATAAGGGAAAGGAGAGAGCCATTCTGCTATGTCAATCAGCTGTTTTCCACTCCTATTTGAAAGCTGTGATTCCAAAGACATGCATTGTTCTTGATGCTTTCCCTAGGAGCTCACTAAGATTCTTATAAAAACCTCAGAAAAAGTGACTGTAAATAGGCATACACTATAGGAGGGAGAATGTTGGCATTGTGCAACCTTAAATGAAAGGGAAAATGGAACATTTGGTGAATCTTAAAAATTTCAGTTTCAATTTTCATGCTCTTTCTAGGTTTGTTTCAGAGATGTCTTTCACTGTACCTTTGCCTCATATCGTGGGCTATAAAAGAAAGGGTATTTTGTGCTTACATGTTTATCCTTAATTTGTACAGTGATTAAGGATCAGCAACAAGTGAATTACTATGCCACAAGCACTGAAGATGAAAAGCCGTTGGTACCCAAGTGACTCCCTAGACATTGTCATCTATTTAAGAGAGATTGAGGGCCACAGCATATCAAGAATCAGAGCAAAAAAACCACTCAGGAATTAGTTGCCTGAAGGGGAAAAGATGCAGAAACTGGGCATGAAATAGCAAAGGGAATGATTGCATGCCAGCCTGCAGCAGTTATTGATGTCTGTCTATCCTTTTCTTGCAAAGCTAAAGAAGGGAAAGCTGGATAAAACCATGGAAGCAGCTGTCTGTGCCTCCTTTACTGCCTAAGAATAGGCATTTGCCTTCAAGACAGAGAGGAGTACAGCCCCTTACTGGGAAGTGTAGTGGGTGATGGCAGTGCTAGGGGAGTAGTGGGACCTAATAGAAGAGGGAGCTAATGCTCCTTCTCAGACAAGGTGCTAGCTTCAGGCTCTGTACCTGGGTTGAAAGACTGAACACAGCCTTTAAAAAATGAATTCAGTTCACTTGCTAAATTCTGAAACACAGAGATTGAGACCTGCTGGTAGTGCCATCACTTTTTACAGGGGAGAATGAAGCCAGGGCTGTGACTGATAAGTTATGGTGCTTTTTCACAGGAAACCTGCTGTCTTCATCCAGATTCTGGGAGGATGTCCAGAGTCACGTAAAGAAAGACTAGGGTAAGACACCTTGAAAATACTTGTGTGTGTGTGTGTGTGTGTGTGTGTGTGTGTGTGTGTTCAATTAATATGAACAGTACTCCTCAGTTCTGATGCACCATTTGCCTGCTCCAAGGTAGGTACAGGATTAAATTAAGTATTTTTGAAATGGAGGCATGCAGAAAAACTGCTGGTTTCAATTTCCAATTCTGATGTAACACTGAGCAAGTTGCTAACATCTCTGCCTCAGTTTCCCTTCTATGAAAGGGGCAGATACCTGGCAATTAGTTAGTGATTGCATACCTGAGCAGAAGAAACTACATCAGGGAGGATTAATGTATTAACTTCCTCCTACGTACTCCATCTAATTGCTGGAATCCTTTTAAGCCATTCAAATGCATGTTTGAGTATAGCTTAGAGATGAATTAAAGCAAAAAAATAGGTATTTGAGGCTGCACTTTTTCTTCGGAACATTGAGCTCTTTAAAGCATGTGGACAATTAACATGAACCAGCAGAGCTGGCCCAAGTAGGAGGTTTTCCATCCTGATGCACCATCTGCAAGAATGGTTAAAGCATAAATGCAGCCCACATTGTTCCAGCAAAAGCTTACCATAGAGAGAAATAATAAAGACTCATCTCTATAACCTAGTCAAATATACACAAATACGGGCAAAGCATAATCTTTATATGTCATGGAGGAAATCTTTATGGATTCATTCAACCTAAACTGAGAAAAAAGCAAAATGTTTTTGACAGTTTCCAAGGGATTTCTTAATGCCAATGGAAGGATGCAGGGCTACACTGATATCCCAGAGCCAGGAAAGTTCATTGTTCCTCAAAACTTCACTCTTTGGGCAGGAACCAGTGTCGTTCTGATTACAGAAATTGTAATTATGACAGTCGGGGTATAAATAGTATCCCCACAGGCCCTTTGGTCTGCTTTTCATTCCCAGTGCAACTGTTTCCTTCATAAAAGGTTTTGCACTTTCTTCAAAGGAAACTCTGAGTAAATGTTCAGCATCATTTGCTGAAATATTCCCTTCCATTTCAGTTATGAGTTTCCTGGACTTTCTTCTGTATACATCTTTTGCATCCCAATTGTGGTCCCACTAGGTCTCTGGTGCTCCAAGTCTGTAAGAGCTAACACACTGAAGTCCTTATCTGGGATGTAATAGTTAATATCACAACCATTTTTTTTTCCAGATAAGTTTGCAAACTGAAATTCTAGGGTAGGCCACTATTAACAGGGACTTCCTGTGATGTGTACCAAGGATAATACCTGAGCCCATTAAAATATAACATGGTCACATTGTGCCCTCTTGCTTTAGCTAACGGGCTTCCAATCATATGAAACATTTTCAGGTCCAGTACAACATTGTACCTCTCAAGGACCGCAGGTCTGTTGGTCATTCCAGGTGGCTGTGAAAGTCTTCCTCTCTCAAACCAGCGGCTGGGCTGGTTTCATAGCAAGGGAAGACTGGATAACTGCTGTGCACAGCCATGTCAAGGGCTGAAAGGTGAACAATGAATAACAGTGTCCCATTTTCAAGCAGTACTTTCATGATATAAGAGCGAACAGTAGGCAGATCTTCCAGTTTGTCTGTAGAATGTACCAGAAGAGGCATTAGTACTTATTCCATAGATAGCTATGTGAATTGGTATCAGCCACTTCTAAGGTATCTACTGTGTTAACACTGAAGAAATAAAGTGAGCACAGTCTAATCCAAAAAAAGGGGAAGATCCCCAGCTGAAGTAAATCAGTGTAAGCCTGTGGAAGTCATCATAACCACAGTTGTTTGTCTCATCAATCCAGGTCTGACTGAAATCACTGAAGATATTCCCATCACTTCAGTGGGCCCCAGGGTGTCTTAGTGGCTGTGGCAGTTGTAGTTGGAAAGGTTGATGAAGAAATGGTTTCCTTATTCTTAAGCTTTCTCAATAATAACAAAAGTAACTATAAAACCAAACCTTGGCTTTTATCACCATCTTCACAGCTTCATGAACATCCCTGACCTGTCCCGTACAGTGTGAGCCAGAGATACTTGAAATAGCTCTAAACAAACACATGTATTTCCTTGTCATGGTTCAGTACCATAAAGGGATACAAATTCAAACCCCTGACAGCGATAAAGCAGATCCATGAAAGCTTGCTCTGAGCTATTTATTTGCCTGGCTGCTCTACCACATGGAGCTAGCACCTTCCAGACCAGCTCTGATAGCTCTGCACAGCACTGCGTTGTGCGATGTGGAATTTGGTGCTAAGGCTCGTGGCCACTGCTACAAGCAGAATCATTAGTCACAAGGTCCCCACCAATTATGTGTGTATTAAGCAGAAAAGAAACCAGCTATACAGCAAAACGTACATACTTATATGTAAGAGGAAGTCTTATCCATCCTCCAACTCCAGGCTCCCCCCTGCTTTCAAAACCTTGGGAAATCCCACACAGCTGTACAATAAACAACTAAGGATGATAATGGATTTGTATTTGAGTCCTGCTTGTTGTTGTTCTTCCTCAGTGCTTACTTATTTATCTCTCCTGGGATTGTGACCTGGAGGTGAGGATCATGGGTGTCATATGAGCATACAGACTGTTACATATACTAATGGGAATAGCACATCTATGTTTTCCTTCCTTTCTCTCAAACCAGAACAGTCAGAAATATCTATGAGCCTGAGGTACTTTTATGTACCTCCCCACTCCCCCATTTCTTTGCTATTTTAGGGTAGGACTAGCATGACCTTATTTCAAGTGCCTGCAGCGAAAACATCAACATCCAAGGTAGCCAAGCTAGGTACTTTTAATAAGCCATAGGTGCTTTTAGGATACAGTCATCTGATAATTTGAGACATCAGAGTGCTCCAAAGTGTCCAAAATGTGCCCATTCCTCCTGCTGACCAGGCAGGCAGTCTGCAGGACCAATGCAGTACGGTGTAGACACTACAGAACTCAATGTTTCATGAGAGAAATCTCACCAAATGAGATTCACAATACCTTGAGTTTAGTGAAGAGGAGTCCCAGGTTTTCAAAACTATTATCTGCATATCCACAAGAGCCATATTGGCATTAACAGGCTTTTTAGAAAAAGATGTTAAAGAAAATTATCCCAATTTGCTGAGTATCTCTCAGAAAGCATATACCATACCAAGAAATTAAACTCAGGAAAACCACCCAGGGCTGGTCAGCATTAGAGGCCAAACTGAATTTTCTCCCTAGAAGGCTGTACAGCAGAAGCTGGAAGGTGGTGGGCTTGGTCTTGTGAGGAAACCACCAAGGAAAGGACCAGCTTTAGAGAGTCAGACTTGCTGTCCCATTGTCCCAGAGGGATGGAGAGAAGGGACAGGGTGCTCCTGCCAGCCCAGCAACTCTGCCCCTTACACCAGCCCCTGCCTGGGATCAGCACGTGCTTCTGGATTTCCAGGAGGGCTGCGAGGAGGCTGCGGCAGTAGTGTCCAGAAGTTTATTCTGCTTTGCCAACAACCAGCTGGGAAATGCAGAGACCTTGCTGTGCTGGAGCAGTTCACAGTGCTCTTGCAGTCGCTGCACTCTCGCAGCTCACAGAGAATCAGAGTTGTAAGAAAATCCTGCCAGAGGGCATCAAAGCCCTACAATTATTTTTTTTTTTTTTTTTTTTATTGCAGAATGTGATTCTAAATTGTGACTTGTTGAGTCCCCCCATGAGAGCTGTACCACCATCCTGCCCTTCTGCTCCCATGCCTGTCACAGTCTGGTTCAGGGAGGTGTCACTAGCTGGGCTGGGCACATCCCTCGGGTGATTTACCCCAGTTTTCAGGGAGCACTTCCCACACAGAACCGATGTCACTTGCCACAAGTGTGCCAGTGGCGTGCACCAGTGGCCACCCATGGCCTGGGGCACTTCATGGCATCACACGCCAGGGCAAGTAGGGCCAGCACTGCCCAGCCAGCCTGTGCCAAAACCTCATGAAGCTTGCTGGATGCTGCTCTCACTGGGGCCTGCCTGATGGTGGGACATGGGGAGGCTCAGCACTGACATGGGTCTGCACATCCCTACTCAGGCAAGGCTGGGGTGTAATCAGTCCCATGCTTTACTCCGTGCTAGATATACTGATTTGCTGCCCCAAGGCCCTCTGAGCTGACAGATGGGAAAGGCAGTATCAGCAAGCTGAAAATAGTAATAATAATGATAATAATAATGATAGCAACAACAACCACCACCAATAGCAACAACAATAATAATAACACTATAGGTTATTTAAGACTGTAGGGTAGTGGCAGACTACCCTGCCCCCTGAGAAAAACTTATCATGGGGAGTTTAACGCAGAAAGGTACTTGTAGTTGCTCTATTGTTAAGGAGGAAACAGTTACTGTTTTATATTCTATGTGAGGGCAAATCACTGAGGTTTACTGACTTCTGATTTGATGCATTTCACCACCACACAAGCTCACACATGCTCCAGCTGGGGAAAGGCTCTGAAGTCACTTGCTTGCAGCATGCAGAAAAGGTGTCCTGTGCCCAAGCTCTGCTCAGTATTTTTCCCTTTCACCAGGCTTTTCAAATTTACTTCCAGTTGTGCAGGATTGCACTATGCTAAAAAATTCTTTTCCTCTTTTTGGTAGGTATTTCTTTTATTTCTATCTCTCATAGTTGACAAAAACCCAAATGAATGTATCCAGTTATACCCCTTCTGCTAATTATATTTTCCTCTGTAAACTAAGGCAACAGGGAGGCAGTCCATCTTGGTGTCCAGCTGACAGTGAAAATGCACAGTGGGCAGCAATTCCCAACAGAGAGAAAGTAGAAATCATGTGTTTTTATCAGACAGCAAACAGCCCTAGCTACGACTAAGAAAAATCAGCTTAAAACAGGCAGTTCTGAATTGAATAGACGTTTAGAGAAGTACTTGAACCAGATCACAGGATACTGCTGAAAAAAATAACTGGCAAAATTATAAGAAAATGACTAAGCATTCATCAGATGGTATAAACCCTGTATCCCTCTCCCCCCAGTTAATAGAATGCTGAAGAATATACTTTTAAGCTTTGGCATTTATCTTGTAACAGAAATCCTGCTCCAGTGATGTTACACTATTCATATCAAGGGATTAGAAAAATTACAAATTATGAATAAAGACAATGATCTTTTCTCCTTTCTGGTTAACATTGTTACAACAATATGACATTGACACAGCACAACCTTGATGGGCTTAAACCAGGCCATCTCAACAGGCAAGCTAATTGCTAAATACCCTTATCAAAGATATGCATGGTTTTTGAAACAAGAATTTTCACACCCACAGAGATCCAGTAAAATCCCTAAATTTTTACAGAATATTCTTTTTGTTGACTCCCTATCAGCTAAGCTAAAGCTAATACATTTGGAAGCCTGATGGGCTGGAACAAGTTTTGTCTAGTTGAAGTTACGCTGTCAGCTGTGAATCTTGCTTCTCGTGCCAAGTCTGGATTTGGAGGCAATACACTACGAGGCTGGTAACAGAGGAGGTGACCCTGAGAGCCAGAGAACTTGCAGCAGCCTCAGGGAAGACAGTATGAGAGGATGTATTGCTGCCGTTCTCTACCTTGCCTCATATGGATGGGGGTGTATTAAGCCAGAGCATCCTTTAGCAACTTGCCTCAGTGAGATTCTGTGGAGTATCTCTGTTCGTAAATGCAGGAGACTGAATATGCAGCATAATGAATAATAAAAATCAAGCAGGACCTCACCTCACAATTATCTGACTGACCCAGTGACATTGAGGGCTTATTATAGCAGAGATTCAAACCCCTTTAGTACAGTGCTTCACTGATCCTGATGAAGGTGCTAGGAATGCTGAGCAAGATGAACTGCCAGGGGACATTTCAAATTTAGGGCAGGGCACCCTCAAAATGCTACAAATTAAAGTATGAAACTGGTGCAGCAGAGCTATTTCCCATAACACTTGTAAAGAATAAGCTGAATAAAGCATCAAAAGTTATAATTCAGCATTTTAACACACGTATGGCATGTTGGAAGCAATTTTGTAGTAAAATTTAACTTATTGTCATGAAAAATTTGGACTGCTAGTCAGAGGAGAGCAGATTTTAGCAGACAAGCTGCAAGTCTGTGTGGAGCTAATCAGGACAGTCATCTGACCTCTATCATCTCAGCTCCTTTTGTCACCATAGTGGACTTTTCTTATTCTGTATGTAAGAACACTTGCATTCTTGTGGCCTGTTAGATACCTGGACTCCTGAATATGGAAAATGAAGAAAATTGATCAAGCGTCCTTATACTGTTTACTTCCCCTCCACTTCATGCTGCATAAATGTCTGTCATCTGTAGACAATTACACCTGACAGTGGTCCAGCCTGGGAAATTAGACTCATGCTTAATCCTAGCAAAAAGACAGATGTTTTGATGGATTGATTTAATGGACCACTGAAGCAGCCAT